GATGGTAAATCTTGCATCTCTATTTCCTAATGCAAAGATTACAAAACATAAATCTCCTGTAATTCTTAAGGAATTGATGGATTTTGTACTTGGATACCACAGGATAAGATATTTGTTGGGATCTATAGTCAATCGAAAATTGTAGTTAATTAAGATTTTCTTATAACCAAACTTGTGAAAATTTAAAAAAAGATTGTACAAATAATCCAGATAAAAAAAGCACATAATAATGCGTTGAAAAGACTTGTGCAAATGCTGTTAAGTCTGAATATAATCATTCTACGTGTTAAGCCTGGCTGTCTACTTGTACTTCCAATTACTCTAACACAGGATGCACTGAAATCAAAAATTAATGTTCAGATTACACTCCCCCTAATTGTATATAATCTAAGCTAGGTTAATGTGAAAATGTTAATAATTAATGTGTTCTTAGAGAATGTCATTATAGTCCATCAACATTCTTGAATAATTAAGTTTGCGAATCTTATTTAAACACTTGCACTGTTGCTAGAATTGGAGGATGTGTTTAAAGATAAGAAACTTGTGATCTTTATAAAATCTAAATTTAATGCCACTTTGATATCAATAATAATAGATGTTGGTGGAACCCTACATTAAAAAATTGTGTCTAACTCAAATGTTCAAATATTGAATAAACCTCATTATACTCTTCTAACTAATAATGCAAATCTATTTAATATGTAGATTGTATTTTAAGTAATACAGGTAAGGGATGCTAAGACAATTAACAATAGTGTGAATCCTTTTACTCGTAATTATCATGCATTGTTGATATAAAAGGGTAACCATGCCAATGGAATAATAATTAATGTTTGACAAAAACATGTACTTCTGCTCCCATTTCTCTAACAACCTTAGAATAATGTTTATCCTACTATACCAAAGTTAAGTGCACAACTAAAACGGGAGGTGGTTGTACTTTTCAATAAGATTTATGCGAAAATTATACTGATTAAGGCTCATGCATCATCACCAAAAAAGGTGTAGAATGTGGATATGATGAAAAAAATAAAAAATGTTTAATAAAGAGCTGTTAAACAGCACCATTATCTTATACATCACACCATTAATGTTATAGTTATTTGAATACATGTACAGTAGAAGCTAATGGAAGTGGTTGTTAAACCATCCCAAAAACCTGTTAAGAAATGACTATGATACAATGTGAAGTTAATTATTGTTATTACAATTAAGATAAAAATATGTGTATTAGTAAGACTTGTTAAAACAAACCAGATAGTATAACAGATTGTGCATAATATTTTGATGAATGTTTTTTAGATACTATAAAATGTAGGAAGACTATCTGTGAATATTATTTCTATGCAACAGATGAAGAATGCAAAAATGTAATGTCTAATTGTACTAGTAATGGGAATTAATGTATTCCTAGAAAGTAATGCAATTAATCTTTAAATGAAGCAAGTTGTGTTTCTTAACCAGATGGACAATTATGTTAGTGGACTAGCAGTAATTAATGCTAAATAAGACAATGTAATATAGCTCCTAGAAGTTTAATTACTCATTCATAATGTTAATAATATCTCAATAAATGCACAACTCAAAAAAATGGAGGATGCACTAATTTAATGTCATGTATAGAATATAGTTTTTAAGAGTAATGTATGATTGATGTTTCCAAGCAGCCATGTATTTGGGATGGAAGCGTAAATTTGTGCAGAAATTTATAATGTAGAGATTTTAATGGATCGAATCATAATTCATGTCAAAAAATATCATTAGAATGTACAGCAGATTTTTAAAGAAGAGGTTATTGCATGGATTTATTAGATTGTTCAATGTATACCTAAAAATTACATTGCATAATTGGAAACGATGGAAGTTGTTTATGGATTAATGAATAATGTTATTAATATTCATAATGTGAAGACATTCAATTTAAAACCCACGAGGAATGTCAACAAATCTCTGAAAACTGTACAACAGATGGTATGTAATGCGTTCCAATCACATTCTGTAAAGATACTAATACTAATGGAGGATGTAAAATAGGAATAGATGGGGAATGTATTGAAATTAT